CAGGTCTGTCGAGCAGGTTCTCAACAGCCTTGATAAACTCTCCAATGGACAATAAGTTGAGATGATTGGAGAGAGCCTGTCCGCAGCGGCCATGGAGAGTTTTATTCGCCTTGACCGTATCAGCTAGAACAAGGATGTTTTCGAGAAGCGTGGCATAGAGCTCCCTCAGCCTCGATGCCTCCATATCATCCTTCTCCATCAAACCTCCGATCTGCGCTCTGAGTTTCTTGTTAGCCAAGAAGCTAGGGAAGGCCGATAGCTGTCGGAGAGCAATGGCTTCGACATCCTTGTTTTTGTCCTCAGTCTCGTCAGTGACACCGAGGAGGACGAGAGAGATGCCAGGCTTTGCCTTGAACAGGTCAGCAGTAAGGTCGAGCTGCTTGACGAGCGATTCGAGTTGTGTTGGGATACTGAAGTGATTCAATAACTCGATAATGAATTGCAGCAGAGCGTCACTCGCACCGTATCGATCAACCAGCATACTGATAAGAGCGTGGAGGAAGTCTTGTGGGCCGAGGGTCTCAACGAGGGCAACAAACAACCCCTGTCGTCGATGAGCGGGGATGTGCTCGTATGCCGTTGTGAAGCTGACAAGAATATCGGAGGCACCAGCGATGGGGCTCTTCTGCCCCTGACGCAGAGAGTCGATTAGTGGAGGAATAACTTCCTTGATAGTCTGAGACACAACATGGGCAGAGTAGTCGTCGCTTTGGCGAAGCACCGAGGTACCCATGAAGGTGAAAATGGGCATGACACTATGCAGGACCAAGTTCGGCGCAGTAGTGGCCAGACTGGCAATCAGGAGAAGGGCAGCATTCTGAACAACGGGGCTCGAAGATCTTTGGATGCAGTTCACAAGCAAATCTCCGTACCCACCAGAGCTATCAATCGTGAGCTTCTTATTCGCCTTGTAAGCTGGCATCATGGCCAAGAGGCTTCGAAGAATGAGGTTCTGTAGGTAGCCCAGCTCAGATCCGACCACTGTTCTAAAGTGCTGGAGCTCAGAGAGGGCAGTAAACAGGCCATCCAAGAGCTCAGGATGCTCAACTGGGTCCGAGTTCTCGACTAGCTGCAGAACGAATGTGACCTTTCGCAGCGACTGGCTGAGTTCGGGAGTAACCTGAGTGATGAGACCACGGTCGGCTCCAGAAGAGCTAGTTCGGCGGCGCTTGTTGGGTGGAGGCTCAGTGACCATCTTCGTTCCAGTCTGTATCGACTGAAGAAAGTCATGAAGAATATCGGTGGTGAGTCGCACGTTCCTCAAAAAATCGGCCGCCTCTGCAGAAACAACCGATTTGCTGTCAGTCGAGACCGCTGATTCCTGGGAGATCTCCAGCAACTGATCAGCAGCCGTTGACTTGACATTAGGCTTCATAGAAGACCACATCTTCTTCATGCGAGTGAAAGTTGCACGAATAAGATCAGCCTTTTCTCGTTGGTCTGGATCTCTGAGAAACTCCAGGAAGAACTCTAAGCCTGCGACGTCGTTTGGCACCACAACATCGACAAAACAGTTGTCCAGATCTGACTTTTCTAGACGTTCTGCGCTGCAGAGCTTAGCTGCCTCATCCTCGCTAAGACTTGCCCACCATTGCAAAACAGGGAGTAGAAGTTGCGTTCTTGTCGTGGTGCTGACGCCTCGGACTTCGTTGACGGTCTTCAACAACCTGCTCTTTACCAGGATCAATGGTGTGTTGACGATGTGTGAGGCCAGAAACTGAAGGAAAGATAGTCTTCCAGGTTGGGACAAATGGTCCTTCTTATCCAACGCAGGGTTCGGCTTAGACTGGTATTTGCCTTGCTCAATTGCGGTACGAAGGACGGCAGCGATATGTTCAGGGTCCATGACACACTCCTCAACGGTAGGAAGAATCTGAAGATGCAGAACCTTGGCGACAACATCAGATGGTAGTGACATTATTTCTTTGGACTTTCCGTAGAGGCTCTGTTGACCCCAGAGGTTGAGTCCCGTAGAAGGAACTGGAGGAGTGTATAGGCCAGTAAGGACAGTGATTAGATCGGCCGCGGCTTGACGGACGCGCTTAGAAGGATCGCTGAGTGCTGAGATACAGTAGGGGAGAAGAGCCTGGAGATCGGCTGTTCCAGCATCGCCAACTTTTAACCTTTTCTTGGTCATGTCCAGAGCTGCAACACGAGCTAGGGCTGGGTAGGGACCGCTCCAGATGCGAATGAAGAAACTGAAGTACGTGCAGTCCTTGAAAGCGGTCTGTCGGTGAAGCTTGGGGTTGAGATCGAATTCGGAAAGCAGGCCCTCATTTTGCGTGCTATTGGAAACAACAGAAAAGAAGATATGGCTGAATTCGTCAAAGATCTCGCCGGGTTGAGGCACGAGACAAGGAGAGAGCGATTCGGACCGGCTGGAAAGTTCCTCGAGCAACGAACCCAGATCCTGGGGTACGTTCTTCTCATTATTGCCATTACTTATCTCTGTATCGTCTTTGATCGAATCGGGGAGTCGTCGAGAGCGGAATGAAAGGTCGAGCTTCATCTCAAGCTCCTCAATATCGAACTTGACTTCTTCAATAACCGACTGGATAGTGTCGCCAGATTTGCCGGTGCTCTGAGACAGAGCAATCAGTGCTGAACCGAGTTCCCGTCGAAGTGCGCCGTCCTCGTCGTTATCATCGCTAAGTCGATGCGCAGTCAAGATAAGAGACTTGAAGATTACAGCGATTTGTTTGTCCTTAAGGACCGAGCTGCTGAGAATAGTGATAATAGTCGCCAAACCTCGAGCGTCGCCCTTTTTGGTAAGTCTCTCTATCAATGCAAGACAGAGGCCATTTGCTAGTTTGTCCACCCGCCGCTCTTGGCCGATCTCTACAAGTAGCTTTCCAATATCTGTGACCTTCATAAGCGCTTTTGTGGTCTTGCTGCTCATTTGCTTCGCAGAACGGTATTGCGCCAAGATAGCCAGACATACAAGAGCAGGCCGCACCGTGTCGTTAGTCCAGCCATAGACCGTCTGGTCCATGAATGCAGTGACAGCGTTATCCTCAAGGTTGCCCTTGGCGACAAACACTGCGATCGCCATATATGAAGCAATCTGAATACTAGGGACTTTCTTCATGACCAAGGACTCAGCAAAGACAGGTCCCAGTCGATGAAGCAGAGCCTGGTCATTCTCGCTCTGAACTGCAGCCCGGCCTGATCTGGTCTTGTCTAGGATACCACTGACGGCCTCTGTCATGATGCCGGCCCAGAATGAGACCAAGGCGGAATAGTTGTACTGCATCCGACATGATTCGAGGGTGTACTCGGATGTGAGAGTTAAAAATGAAGGGTGCTGAATAGCCTCGCGGACCAAGACATGTCGGGGAGGCGATGTGACGGAGCGAATGTAAGGGCCGAGGAAGCGGAAGTCATGAGGGATTTTGCTCGGCAGAATCGAAAGGAGGGTAGCGAAGGCCGGTATGGAATGGTAAGGCAGGAAAGTGAGCAACAGAGCTTGTGTGTTTTCCTCATGAATTCTTCGCAGTGTTAGTTTGCTTTCCCGCACCCATCGCAGAATACATGGTCTTACCTGAATCTTCGAATGAGCCACTCAATAGACTTTATCGTAGGCATCAGCCTTAGTCGACTGCCCGCGAGGCGCAGGAAGGCCTCGACCCGGCGGTCCAATTCCTCATTCTCAGAAGCTGTGAGCTGGGTACGATCTTGGTTCTGACTCTCCTCGCTGAAGATGGTAGACTGGAAGGGCGCGAATCGAGCATCGAGTTGACAGAGCTCCTCAAAGCCCTGGAAGCAGGTTGTGTAAAGAGTTTGGTAGCTCTGAGTAGCAGCGACTCGAGGTTCCCATATCAACGACTTTGAATGGGCAGCCTTTTGCGCCTTGACGTTGAGAGTGGACTTCGAATTGGCAGCCACCTGCGCCAATTGAGTAGCGAGAGCAGTCGCCATGATTTAAAGGGCTGCGACTCAGGCTCTGGGCGGTAGATGGCGTAAGGATGTCGATGAGATGGTCACTGGCAGCATTAGAGTGCAGCAGGTTTGAAAATATTTTGGCGACTACGAAAAGAACTTTGTTATCGATAAGAAACGCACGGGTTCCACGGGCAGCTACCCCACATAGGTACTAACTCCCTAGTACCTTCCTAGCCTAGTACTTCGTGACGTTAAGACAAACGAGGAATATTCCTACCTGGACTTTCTCTGGATAAGGTAGATATGCGAGCTTTGAATTGCAAACCTGATTATTACTATTATCGCTATTTCATTCGAAGTCCAATATACTAAGTCTCGGCGGAGTTCGTCCCATATCTCCCTCTACTATAGTTGGCGCTATATCCTTCCGGCCCCTAGGCCCCCACCATCCAACTGGCTGCATTGATTAGAAGAACATTTGACTCAACGATGGGCTACTTTCTATATGCCTCAGGGAGAAGGAAACTTCTGGGATCAATTCGGAGTGCCAAAATAAACTGGTCTAAACGGCCTCTAAGTCGGCATGAGCTTACCCAAGTATTTTCATCACTCAGAGAAGAGGTCCTAAGTGTTTCTGCTTCCCCTTGACATGATATCAGATTCTATACTGGTTGTCAAGTACACTGCTTATGGGGCACAACTGGTTAAGACCTGAAGTTGGTAGGAAGTGAATAATTTCCGATTTAAGAAATAAGAAATAGGCAAATAATGCTTTGAAGGATACTTATTCCGCTTGCTGAGACCTCCAAACCCTGTTTATGTGGATAGAAAGGAAAGATAATGCATGTCTTAGTCCAATGTTCGACTTAAAAAAGATACTATGTTATTGGCTCGAAACCCCCACAATGCGCAGAGGACCACATGAGAAACGGGTGGGATAAGGCCTGTTAGAAACCAACATTTAAGCCGTAAGTTTCTGGTGACTTGTTAATCTATTTAACCGCACGATTGAGGCTGTCAGGGTCGCAAAGTCTCCCCTTCTGATAGAGCTTAAATCTGACGTTTTCCGCGACGAACAGAGCTTCTACGGAATCAAAACACTTTTACCACGTCCCAACATGGCTGTAAGCAACGCTCAACTTGCAGTCAACGCCAAAAAGAAAAAGCTCACACATCACAGTGGACAGTTCCTCAGGTCGTTCTCTTCGGAGACTCTTTGTTCCAACAATGCTCAGATATCCAGGACGGCTTCTCTTTCCAAGCTGCTCTCCAGTCTGGTGAGAATCCAACATAAGTGACCGCACAGGAAGCGGCCTGACTTGCTGCAGATTTCATTCGACGTTTGGATATTGTGAACCGGGGATACTCGGGTTTCAACACCGACATCGCTCTGAGATATCTCCCTGAAATCTTCCCGGAACGAACAGCCTCATCACCTAAGATGGACTATCTGGTACGGTGCCGCCATATGAAGCGAAGAATGTGTAGCTAAAAATGAACAGGTTCTCCTGTTTGGCGCAAATGATGCTGTGCTTCCTGGCGCTATCACCAAGCAGCATGTTCCTATAGATCGGTACAAGGAAAACCTCACCAAGATCATCAACCACCCGCGCATCGCTGCTCACAAGCCCCAGATTCTGCTAGTGACGCCCCCTCCCCTGGATGAGATCAAGACGACCCCTCGATCCATCGAGAATGGCCACCAAGGAGCAGTTCGCAAGTCGGCCATTAGCGCTGCCTACTCCGAGGTGGCTCGTGAGGTCGCGCGAGAGAATCCTGGGGTTATTCTGGTTGACCTTTGGAAGGCCCAGATGGACAAGGCCATCTCCCTCACTCCTGACGATTACACCCCTGGTGGACCATGGCTAGGCGACCCTGAGAACGGTAAGCAGGGTGGCCTGGATACTCTCCTTCACGACGGGCTCCATATGAGCGGATCTGGTTATCAGGTATTCTATGAGAGCCTTAAGCCATTTATCGGTAAGGAGTGGCACGGCCTCGCGGACGATGATCGCAAAGGGTTTGTGATACCAGATTGGCGAGAACTGCTGGAGCTCAAGCCCAATCTGAACACTGGCGATTAGATGGGATGCAGTTTATGGCATTTGACATCAGAGGCACTGATTGAGTACAAAGTATCTAGATATATGCGTTGCGCAGAGTTTCTTGTGTCTTTGATCCAACGTTCCAGCAATGAAGTGTGAGCGAGGCTTGAGGTATGCTAAGACAATTTCACTCCACTACCTTACTTAGTACCTACCTACTACCTAAGTACCTAGGTAGCCCCTTCCTCGGGGGCAAGAAAACAGCAAACCTCGCTGTAGGGTGTCAAGATAAACTTAGCAAAAGTCATCCTAAACTTAGGCTATATCACCTAAGTCTTTTTGTCATTTAGGATTGAGGTCCTGTGTTTTCTTTCCTCCCCTAGCCCCTCTGTCCCAGGAAACGGGATGCACATACCTATGCGTGCTACGTTCCAGAGGACACTTGCTTGAAATGTGAGAATCTTGACTGTGGACATTCAACAAATTGGTATATACCCTGCTGTGTTATTCGAATGGGCACAGCCCCGTACCTCGGATGTAGTTGCAGGGAACCAAATCTAGGATAATAGAAAACTCGGGATCTTTTTATCATAAATGGCAAAGAGTCCTGGTTGTGGTATATATAATCTACCAGTCGGTAGGCCTCTAGGCAAGTAACCTGGAACCTAGTTACTAATAATTTTGGCACCTTGGCCTTGGGGGGCAAGAAAACACCGGACCTTGATATGAGGTGTCAAAATAAACTTAGCAAAAGATATCCTAAATTTATATAAAGTTACCTAAGTCTTTTTATCATCCAGGGTTAAGGTCCTGAGTTTTCTGTCCTCCCCTAGCTTGGTTCAGGGACAGAGGTTCTCCAGCTGTTACTCCCTGATGAAGCTAGGATGGACTGCATAGGTGACGACAGTTCGAGGCACTGGAACCCGTAGACCTCCAATCGTACTCCCCTTAGTGGCTAGCCCCCCCTGACGTTTAATGCTTACAGTTGGTTACTTCAACACGCCACAAGCGCTAGAAGAACCGCCACGTTAGCGCGCCAGCCTTTGTCTCGACTACCTTACCTACTCAGGCCTCGAGTTGCTCCCGTCCGTTTCTTGAATTCAATCCACACCAGCGCCATCTGAATATCCTTTCGGACTTCAACCTTTGATAATTCTCCCTGTTTTCAACTCCTGACGTACCTCTACGACCTCGAATACGCCTCAAGATTCCCCTCAAGCTTACGAACACACGGTGTCGACTGTTACCCCTCCGTAAAAGCCACCCACGATCCCAGCTGCTTTCAACCTCTCGCCCGCTTTACACCATTCATTTACACCTAACTTCGATCCCTATCTTTCATATCAGGATCGGCCTATGTCAAATCTGGCCAATTTTCTACCTGCCATCTCTCATCAATTGTGACGCCTATATTCTTAGCCCTCTTCAAATACGATAGTTGCTTCCATAAGTAGGTTGTCTCGCAACACTCGCCAATAAACGAGCACGCCTCGCCGATCGTCACGTCCACAACTATCACGATCCTAAGTCGCACTTTCGACCTGGGCACCTTTTTAATCGACCCTTGAATACCAAATATACGTCAAGCTACTTACCAGCCGCTCTATTTGAGGCCACTACTCACCACGACCAGGTGATTATCGAGATCGCACTCTGCTTGTCGAAGGCCCTGTGGTCTACACTAGGCGATGCGGCGGGGAGGGAGGACCTCGTGAACTAAATCTTAACTGGGGATCGAGGTCGGAAGTACCAATTGTTTTTATTGTCGAAAAAGTTGTGCTGGATCAAAGCCTATGCTGTACGATTGAAGCCATTGTCTGTTCTGCCCTTCTCTACTGGCGCCTCCAAGTCCCCCTCGTCTCTCGATTTCCTTCTTCCTATCCTTGTTAGTCGAGCCACCAGCCCTCGATCTGCAGTCAATCGGCGTTCTCTACACCTGGAATTGGAGCCTTGTTGTCCAATCAGACCTGACCTGGGGATGGATCCCAGATTTCCAGTCTCTCGCGAAGATCTGTACAGTCTGCAGATGGAAGTGAAGCAAGTGCAATATACTCAGAGCAATCATGCTGAACGGCTTCTTCGATTGGAAAAGAAACAGGCGGATGATGCTGCACTGAAGTCTGTCTGGAACTCTCCCTTTCCAGGTGTCTTGAGTGGCACACCTCAAACAGGTGAGTTCTCAGCCTGTTGACATTTTGATCATTCCCTTACAAATTTTAGGACCTGTTTCCATTCCACACAATGACATGTTTGATGACTTGGATGAGCAAGGTGAGGAGCTTCTAGGATCTCTTCATCTTGGACCAGCAGAGGAAGAGCCGGTTCGCCGAGGCGCTGCTTCGCGGGCTAATAGTGTTCGATTCGACGAAAGCGCCCTGCACGGATCCAGTTGGGGAGGCCCAAGCAATCGTCACTCTGGAGACTTTGGCCCTGTTCGTCCTGGAAGTGGCCTAATGATGGAGCGCTCATTATCTCACAAGTCGGATGGACGACACAGTTCTGCTGGGCATTCAGTCCACTCTCACCACTCCATTGCTTCTGGCCGGGCTAGTAGCTTAGGCCTTGATAATAACTTTGCTGTTGGCGACGACGACGACGACGACTCGTTCGACATTCCTGGCCCCCCTGCGGCGTTTTATGTCCTCGGGACAGTCCCTTCGATCGTTCGATGTTGGTTAACCACCAACTTTGGCCACTCAACACTCCTCTACGCCGACGTTTGCAGTGGCTCGCAAAAGTCCACGGTTGAGTGTTCTCTCCTCAGAGAGTTGGATCTTGTTGATCAGATCCATCGCGAGGTTGACGGTGCATATCGCGTTAGGTTGAATGTCTACTTTGCAGAGGCTGTGGTGACACATCATGGCAGTCGGTCTAGTAGCCCTCATGGGCCTGTCCCTTCAATCACGGTCTTTTTCGAGGTCCTTGGAGTGACAGAGCAGCCTATTCGGGCTGTAGATCGCAAAGCCATTCGAATTTACTTGGGCAGCGATGCTCTCAGAGCCCATTCCGCAGATATTCTATTTTCCCAGAATACTATGACCCTGCGTGGCGACGAGCGAGAGCGACTTCAGGTCCCCTTTGTCCGACCAGAGGATGAAAACGTGTTTCGGAATATTTGCACTACCAACATGGTCCCAGAGAAGCCCAAGTTGAATGCAAATGCTGCTCCTTTCGTCTCTGGGGATTTCAGCCAGACTAGCCAGGAGAGTAATCCTGACACGGAGGCTCCTCAGCAGGATTATGAGTCTCGAAGCGAAATGTCGCCAATGGCAATTGACGCGGTTCTCCATAAGCGACCCAGTTCCAGAGGCAGTGTGTCCGGTGCGGAGAGTGAGAGAAGGTCTCGTGGACTCACCAACGGAGACCAATCAGGTCCTAAGGAGCGTGCTGCTGAGCATTCTGCCCCCGAAGGCTCCAGGCGAGAACCCCTTTCAGGGATTTGGGGATCATGGCGCCACGGATCAGGGAATGGAGTGGACGGCCCGCACAGAGATGGTTCATTGAGTGGATATCAACCTGCCGGCCGAGGCCGCAACATGAAAGTTCTGAAGCCCCAGAAGTCGGCCACGAGGACAGTTTCTTCTTATGATGCCTCTTCGTCAAAAGGCCAGGGAGATGGTCGACGCAAGAGTCAAGTCAGCGTTGGGGAGAACGGTGGCACTCCTGCCAATCGATGGGAGGCTAAGCGTGCGGTGAGTATGAGCAGCGAACACAAAGCGCAATCGCAGTCACAGTCGCTTCCACCTCCAAGTCGTGATGGTCGCAGCGCCAATGCCAATGCCAACGCCAACGCCAACAGCAACAGCAACAATTCCCTGCCTAGGTCTGCCAACCCTGTCGGAGTTGCTTCAGCGTTCTCATGGATGACACCAACATCCAAAGCCAAAACAACTGCGGGCTCAGAATAAAGTGTTTGGATGGCTTGCCAGTGGCCATTCCTTTCTTTATCAGCCGTGTAGACTTTCAGGTCCCTTGAAGTTCATTCTTTGGTCTATGGAGACGATAAATGGGCAGACTCGAAGAAGTGCAGAATTGCAATGACCCGGTCATTCGGGGTCCTTAAACAGGGTTGATTAACGGCGATTGCGACTTGCTGTAACAAAACGAAACGGAACAGAAAATAAGAAAACAAATAGAGGCAAAGGCGATTTGATGCTTTGCTAGAAAAGAAAAGAACAGAAATTGAGAGCAATGATGTTTGTACTATGCAAATGTATGTCTAATCTATCATTAAATAAGTATGTCACTACGCCTATATCTTGGATCCAGGAGGCAAGGCTTGCCAAACCTTTCTGGTGTCTGCAATTGACTCCTTGACAACACCAATCAGTCCCTTGAAAGCAGGGTGTTGCGAATCTCCCACGCATTCATACATCCAGCTCTCGCTCGACGTGACCGTGATTCCGGGCTCGGCACGCAATCGATCGAGGGCAATGTCGACCTCGCGAGGATTACAGCTGGATACTCCATCAGCAATGACATACACCTTATGCCCTGCGTCGCGCAAATCGAGCGCTGTCTGGGTAATGCAGATATGAGACTCAATGCCGACAAGAGCGATTTCGGAGCCTTGAGGTAGATCGACGGTGATGGAGGGAATGGACATGGAGAAACGTGTCTTGTCGTGTGGTGACGAGGGGAGGAGCTGCGCCAGAGCTGAAACTGTGGGACCAAGCTTGGCTGAGGTCTGGGTCGTGGTTACGACGGGAACGGAGAGAGTGTTTGCGAATTTGAGGAGCTTTTGGGTGGTGAGGACGCTGAGGTTGATTAGCTGAGTGGCGTCGAATGAACCTGGGCTGCCATACATGCTATCGAATTCGTGAATGACATGGCGAAACTTTTCTTGAATATCGCAAACGCTAAACCACTCTTGATTAGATGTTTCTCTCAGATCGAAAGTACTGTAATGATACATACAAGATCCTTGGGTTCTCTGACCGCCGCAAGTCAGCATCTCTCTTCTTCGTAGACTATGTGGCCCATATCAGATCATAGGTAGTACTAGGAAAGGTACTTACTGAACCGCAGCTCGTTTTGCGCTGGGGATGACATGGCGCGAATCTGGTGCAGCGTGGAGCCAGGAGCAGGACGAGACACGGCAGTGCCTTCTAGAGATGTGCTAGCCAATCTCGATGTTGCTGAATTACTGATACTTGCTGCCGCAGCCCGCGAACCTATAGCCAACCGAGATAATCCACGTCGAGAAATGACAGTCGAGAGAACTTGCATAACGAGATCGTAAGGCCAAGATCGAGGGAGGACTCACTCATCAAACCAAGAAAATGAACGGAAGAGATGAACGTACAGATTAAGTAAGTTCCAGTCTCTGGTTGATGTGATCTCAATGGCAAGGAAAAGAAAATAAAATCGGGATCTGAGACATTTGGAGGTGGTTGAGTTCGAGGAGGGTGGTGGGTGGCTGAGGTGAGGGACGGTATAGCTAGAGGTTAGCCGCAGCGCGGGGCAACGGCAGTGGAAAGTGGGGGTGATCGACGGGCTGTTGTTGCATTAGGTTAATTAGCAGTTTACCTTTCAACCTGCTGAACCCTAAGTGCACCAGGAGTACTAACTTAAGTATAAGGCGAATAGGTTAGTAGTCTTAAAGACAGTGACCTCAGGTCCCAAATACCATGGAGAGTCACTGACGACAAGGTCATCTGTCTCTCATCAGATCCATTGTATTCACAATTTGGTGTTGGACAAGAAATGACTTGTCTGAATAATCAAGTCAAGCTACTGAATGTCTCTAAAGTAAAGCAATTTTGTCCACAGCCTAGTCTAAACAATGCTTGCGCCTGTTCTATAGAGAATTATTACTGTATCTGATTATGTACTCCCCGAACGCCAGTATATGCGTGCAACCATCTATCGCCAACCAGTGCCTCCCCCCAGCCTGTTCAGAGAAACCATCTTTCTCCTAGGCGTTAACTTCAGCAAACCATGTTCGTAAGAGACCAGCCAGGGCGCTTGGCAGCTCTTCAAGATGATGGACGATTAGATAGTACTGGAATGGGAACGTGTCCAAGTATCTTTCGATGACGACTTTGCTTTCTCCGCCGTCCCGAACAAACTTGGCCTCCTTCAGCTCAAGTACGCTGTCGCCCTTCTTCTTGCCCGTATCATCCATGATGATAAACACAATCATGATGCGCTCCTCCATCGCCTCCCGCAGCATTCGACGGATGCCCTCGTGGGCTGATGAAGGCGTAAGGCCGTCCGAGAGAATCAGTGCTAATTGCCAGAGATCCGAGTTGCCGCTGCCCTGTTGTCGTGCAAGTCTGAATGTTTCGATGGTCCGTTGGATGAGAAGTGCAATGTCGGTACGATCTTGAGAAAAGTTGAACTTCTGCAACACCTTGGCTCCAGCATCTGCAGCAAAGGGCTCGGTTAAGCCATGGGCCGTGAAAACGTCACTTCCAAAGCCCATGACGCCAACCTGGCCAGCTTCTAGCATGGTAAGTGATCGTGATACCATGACGAGAGACTCCATGGCCAGAGTACCTGATGATGTTTCACCCATACTCTTACTATCATCCACACAAAGCAGTATCTGGTAGGTACGTTTAGTCGGGATGCTGCGACGCATCCAGATCTTATCCCGCTTATAGCTCGATGCAATGTAAGGGATGATGCGTTTAATGTTGAGTCGCTTCCCTGTACGGAAAGCTCCCGAGAGTTTGGTCGATTGTGAAGGGGTAAGGATAAGCCGGAGCTGGGATGTCAAAGCCAGAGAGAGTGAATGTGTTTTGGTCTGGAATTCAGCCCACTGTTGCATCGACTCGCCGAAATCTCGGAGTGGCCGTTCTTCGTCCGAGATGTGAGTTGAAGAGAGCTGAGTCGATGTCTCCTGAATCTCGACCTCATCTTCCTGTTCATCCAATTGCGCCTCCTGATCTGAAGGACCGAACTCACGGTCATAGTTGCCTTGGCGTGTCTTGACCCCTGAGCGCGTTTCGTCCTGGTCATTATCTGCATCTTGCTTACTGGCATCCGGCACCTCTCCCGAATCAGCTGTGTCCATCTTATCGAGATCCTGTTCGGTCTCTTCTTTGTCATCATCCATAAGGCGGCTTGTAGGATCTTGTCTCTCCTCATCGATGGCCATAGACTCGTCGATGGGCTGTACTTGCTCATCATCCGCAGTTCCCATGGCCTGGGTGTCTGTAGCAGTCTCATCGTCCTGTAAGTGCTGGAATTCCTTACGACCTTGATCGGCGCTCGGTTCTTGTGGTGCGTTCTGTTCATTGGCGTCCGAAGACTCAGCTTCCTTGATATCTTCCTGCTGTCGATGCCAGCGTTCAAGTGCATCGCCGAGCTTCTTGAAAGGATCACTGCGTGCCGAATCCGCCTTTTCCTGTTCCTGCTCGGCCCTATCCATGATCTCCTTTGACTGCGAAGTTGATCCCTTGTTCCCTGCGCTTGTGTCCTGATCCGCAGCTCCCTCTCCCATCTCGCCATCCTCCTGCTGGGCAGCGTTGCTTTGGAAGTTATCGTCGACATTCATCGAGTCAGCATTCTGATCCTGGCCAGAACTCTTGACATCGCTTGGTGCAGCGTTGTCGGTATCAGCGGTAGCGTTATCTTGAGGCGGTTGGTTCTGATCTGTAGCATCCTCCTGATCCTTGTCCTCTTCGTCTTCCTCAGGTTTGGCCTCCTCGTCAACTTCATCTTTGCCACCGGCCTTTTCTTCTGGCATCTCTTCGTCTTCCTGGATTTCGGTCTCTTCTCCGGCCTCTTCTTGAAGCTGGGCTTGGGCCGCAGCGTCATCTAATCCATCTTCCTCCTCGTTACTCATCTCCTGGTCCTCTCCCTCCTTCTTCTCTTCTTCTCTATCCGAAAGACCATCCAAGTCATCGCTATCCGACGCCGACTCATGATCGTCATCGAGATCCAACTCCATATCCTCAGGAAGCGCCAGTGTATCATTCTCTTGGGCGGTTTGATCTTGCTTATTCATTTCCTCCTGGGTTTTGACTTCTTCTTCTTCGGCACCAGCTTCCTCTTCCTCTGCGTCTTGTTCACCAGAGTCGTCAACATCTGGCTGCTCCTCGCCTTCCTGTTTCTTCGCATCTTCATCTGCTGCCATCTGTTCGTCGTCCTTCTTCTGGCCCTTGGCCTTCTCACCCTGCTGGTCTTTATCAGCCTTTTCTTCGTCCTCTCCATCCCACATCTTCTCGTCAACGGCAGTGGGATCTAGGTCATCAACCTCTCCAGCTTCTTCATCCATATCGTTCTCCTCCTCCTCCTCCTCCTCCTCATCTCCATTCTTCGAACCCTCCTCATCATCATCGGCCCCATCAACACTGCCCATGTCTCCTTCGAGCTCCTCATCAGCCATATCCACCGCATCTTTTTCGTCTTCCATTTCACCGTTCTCCTCCTTGTTGGCTTCTTGGGCAAGCTCGGACAAGTCCTCATCAGGCTGAATGTCCTTGCTGATGTCTTCGGCCCCTTCACCGTCACCAAGACCAGTTCCAGACTCCACTTTGCCAGAATCGCCAGAGGTTTCATCAGACTTTTCTTGTGGTGTACAGAACCCTTGAGAGGAAATTTGAGTGAAGGTCTTAGTCATGCTATAGGACATGTGTGCTATGGCGCTGTGGATGTCGACAACTTGCATCAAGGTCTGCTGAGCTAGATTAACGTATTCATTCAGGACAGGACATGCGATCGTCATGAGACTCATGGCCGCTTGGCTGAGACTCGGTTCTTCGAGATGAATCTGCCTCAACATCTTGATACAGCTGGCCACACTCCTCTCGATCTCGGTAATACGGAGTTTTGCAAAGAGATTTACGAAGCCGTCGGCGTGACTGGTGAGCCAAGAAGGTCCGTCCTCTCTATAATCAGTTCCCTTTGCGGCTTTCTTCACGCTCTCAATTGCGACCAGGATTTTGTCGCAAAGTGTCGAGACAGCATTTGCAAAAGTGGTGATTTCCATGTCGTCAGATGTAAGGCTAGGCGCGGCTTCTCTTGTAATCTTGGTCCAGCCAACAATTTGGAGAAGAATGAAGGAGAGTTCCGGCTGCTTCGTATTCAACTCTTCGAGGTCGGCGCGGAAATTAGCCAATTCACTCGAGAAATTCGCCTCAGCACGAGCAGCTGCTTCGGAAGACACACCATCTGGAAGTTGACTGAACCCAGCATTCAGAGTATGGAGAGACTCGAATCGCCCATGCCACGAATTCAGCTGTTCTATCGCCGCCGTGTGATTGAATTCCCCAAGCTTCTCGTGGATTTCAATCAAACGAATGGCATGCTGGAGAATCTGAACAAGCCAAGGGACAAGACGTTTCCAGTCAGAGACTGCTGTCTTACGAATGAGAAGTCCGTGATCATCAGAAATTCCAAGGCCGCTGAATTGTTTTATGGATTGTTCAAGAAGTGATAAGGAGGAGGCACCAGATGTGATCGAATGTCTCTGAGCCAGTAAAAGGTTGAGCATTCCTTCAACAAATCCAGCACTTCGCGCAACCTCGGCACTGGTAAGATCCTCAGAATGGTCTCGAGAAGCAGCCCTGACCTTGGGGATTAAATCAAGAATCTTGTGCAAGTGATAGTCCATGGCTTCGGTAGAATCGTGCGAAGGAAGTTGCACAGGTTGTATTGACGACAACACAACTGATAGTGATGCCTGCTCCGCAAGCTTGTCCTGTCCTAGGTTGTGCTTGAAACCCATTTGCCGAAGATCGCGCAAGGTATCTGCAAACAGTTTCCTCTTTCTTGTCTTCAAATGCTTGACTTGGTCCTTGTTCTCATCGGTCAAAAACGGCGGCGTCTCTTTGCGAAGTTCCGCCATTGACTCGCTCAGGCTAGAGACGTAGTCATCAACAATTTGAGGTACCTGGCTTGTCATCTCTGGATTGTGTGAGATCTTTCGCATGACAGAGACAGTTTTAGAGACGTTGGCAAGGCGCTTGTGGCCATCGGTCCACCCTGGCAGAGCGCTGTTAAGCTTAGAAAACGCGTCCGCAGAAACATCCACAATAGGAGATTTATCTCCTACATAGTTTGCGTGATGGACGTCTTGATCAGGTAAACCTTGTTCAATA